ACCTGACAGCTGTGCTAGGTTGCTGCTCTTTAATCTCCCAGATACACGTTTTACCATTATGCATGCTGTATTCTTCCCTGGGAGGCTGACCTGCATGAATCACATCAATAGCTGCTATTTTTGTTCCCCTGGTCTGACTGAGGAGAATTACTAGCAGGAGACAGGGGGAAGAAGATTGAATATGTATTCTCCTGTTCTTTTCACCTATCACGTCGACACTCTTAACCCTTCAGTGAGGCCACCACTTTCCTCCAGACAGACAACTCTATATACCCCACACCTGCCCCTGAACCTCAGGGTCTAGGAAGTGGCAAGCATTCGGCCCCTTGTAGGCTGGCTTACTGTGCTATTTGCATTCCCTACATCCATGCTTTCTGTAAATGATACCTTTGTAACTACACCTTCTTCTAATTACTATCAAGTTGCCCATTACTATCTATCTATTTCTTACTGGGACTCTGATTAGTGCTATGTTCATCGAGAAGCCTACAAGGCAGTACATTCTGGAGAGCAAGCTGGCAGGCTGAGCCTATCATGCCCTTCTTAAACCTTTTGTATCTTCCTATTAAATGTTTTTACCTTCTGCTCTACTAAGGAACGCTGTGAAGTAGTCTTTAAACTTCTTTTTCTATTTCACATTCATCAATCTTCTCTACCCTCATTGCCCCAACACATATTCTCATTCTCCCTCTATCCCTCCCTCCGTCCCCCAACCTTTTCTGCCTAGAGAAAAGCAGAGTGTAATCATGTTTTTCCAAGATTTAAATTACTTTAACATATTAAAGTAATATACAGATATTTCAAGGGAAACTCAATAAAAGAACAGACTCTAATGAAGAGCCAAGTACGGGAAAATGTGTTTTCCCTTTCTTTGATACACCCCAAATCAAACCATATCAGCCTAGTAGATCTTCGGCCAGGGAAGCTTCCAAGTCAATAATGTATTCCTGCTGCAGCTCGGCCTCTAAGTTGAATAAAGAGCAGGGACTATTTGTCTTTAATTGCTATGTTCATGAAAGATTTGCTTTGGGAGACACGTTGTGTGATCAGCTATACCTGGAAGTCACTTATCCAGTGTAGTTGGGTTTTTCTTTGGCCACCAACTCACAAATAATGACACAGAAACTAATATTAATCATGAAAGCTTGACATATAGGTTAGGCTTGTCTCAACTAGCTCTTATAACTTAAATTATCCCATGTATATTAACCTATGTTCTGCCATGTGGTGTTACCTCTCTTCCTTCTTGCACTTCCTGTTTCCTCCCCCTGTCTGGCTGGTGACTCCACTTTTCTTCTTCCCAGAGTCGTCTCTGTGCCTGGAAGTCCCACACTATACCTCCTGCCTAGCTATTGGCCATATAGTTCTTTGTTAAACCAACCAGAAGGCGCTTTGGCAAAGACACCAATTCACAGTGTGCAAAATGATTATTCCACAACAACCCAGGCTTCCATTGAGCATTTGCAAAATTTCTGTTTAGATTTTGTTTCCCTTCCCCTACTTCAAAGCATCACTCAGTGTGCCCAAGTCCTATATAAACAAACAGACTAATTTTGATAAAGGAAGATGCTGACCATGATGGGGGACAAGGCAGGAAGACTGTGACTTCAAGAACGGCCTTGGGGTACAGAACAAGTTCCTGTTTAGGTAAAAGAAAGAAGTGAAATAAAGTGTCAAAGTAAGGCTGCTATGACAAAGCAGTATTCTGAGAAAGTGGAGAATGGATATTGAAAAAAATGCCCTCAAATAAAACAGCTTTTAGCTTCATGTCCCTATAGATGAAACCCTAAGAGTTAGAAACAATATTAAGCAGAAAACCAGTCTTGAACTAATAGGTTATCAGTTGTCAAGCTTTTCTCCCATATGGCTTGCTGCCCAATATCCCTGTTGGGGGGGAAATCAATGATAAGATCCAGAAAGAGAAATTCATACATTTCTTTTTCATTTCATTTATTGGTGTCACCAATTCTCCAAGACAATATAAATATTTTCTACATGAAGACCCCAAGTAAATGGATGCCTAAGAAAGATTACTTAAGAATAATCATTTTAGAGGAGTGCAAAGTGAAAAAAATCACACACAAATTATAGCAAGAACAAAACCATGAAGCCATGTGGAAGTAGTATTTCTCATTGACAATCAAGTAAAACCAAGTGCATGGCAACAGATGGCATACAAATCAAATCCTGGTGCAGCCCAGTATGGGAGCCTGTTTAAATTAATCAACTAGAAGTTTATTGAACAGTTAGACTCTCACATGAACGGACACACTCATTAATCCAGTTGTGTACAATATCCAGTTTTGTATAAGAAAGCTAGTTTTTCAAGTTCCAGCTGACAGCCCAAACTGTCTTGGTACTTTTCAATACTTCTTGGAAACTGTGGACATGATATCTGCCACTGAATGAGAAACACACATGACAAAAATAATTTCTAATTTCTTACCTAATAGTTAAACATATTCAACAGGACCATGTATTATGTAGAAAATATAGCACCAGTAGTTGGATTCCTGTGAAATGTTAACTATTTTAACTCAAGTTTGACATATTTCAGAATGTTTGGGATATGGTTTGAGATATGAGTTTTTCAGAAGATGGTACTTGCTGGTAAGCAGCGGCTCTGAGGAGAAAGAGCACTGGACCTGGAGTCAGATGCAATGCAGGTTGTTTTCCCTAAAGAGCCTTTCCCAATCTGATGGTGTATACTCTTTTGCTATTATATCTTGAGAATTTGATTGAGGCCATTTTTAAGTGGACTCAAGTTGTCTTTTTCGTTTCCTTAGTCTCCTGTTCAAAGGCTAGGAAACTGAACTTGTTGAGGAAGTAGGGTCCAGAGGAGTCGGTTTCTTTGTGTCTGTGTGTTATGTAGCCCTGCTGTCCTGCTCATCTTCAGTTGCATGTCGAAAGTGGCCAGCCCCTCTCTAGTCTATGGAGCAGATTTAGAAGGGGTCTGGGAGGGACATTCTTGAGAGCAATAGCAGTCCACTCCGCCACAAAACCCAGAGAAAAGCACCATGTTAGGAGCTAGATTGTCAGGTTCTAGCCCCCAAGATCAACTGGCTCAAGTTCCCAAGACTAAACTCGTCCTAATGAGTTCACATAACCAAATGTTGCTTTTGTTCTTAGCTTTCCTTCTCTTCTACTCTACATGTGTTTATATCTCCACATCAGTGGCTGACCAGAGGAAACCACAAGCTAAATCTGTTCCAAAGTGATCTTAACAACTTCCTCTCCAATCTCTCTCTTTTTTATACCTAGGCAAGATTAACAATATCACCACCTCACTAGTTTTAGCCAAGCTCAAAAACCTGGGGTCATTTTATACTTTTCCTTCCCCTAATTCCTGTCTCAGTCTTGTCTTCTCTATTTTCGATTCATCCCTTATGCTATTACTGCCCAAGTGCTCTTGATAAAATGCAAATGTCCTCACAGAGATGCCCTGAATACAACACTTTAATGACTCCCTTTCACTCAACATCCCTGAACACTCATGCAATCCACTCTCTCAGCATTTCCTCTGAGCTCTCAAGTGAACTGTTCAGAGTTACCAAAGCACGAGATTTCTTCATGCTCATGGCTTTGAATGTGTAATTTCCTCTGCTACTTTCTCAGCCAGAGAGAGTGATTGCCCCTCATGTTCCCCATAATCTTTCCATATGCTTTATTTACATCTCTTGTTACCCTATATTACAGTCACTTCTTCACTTGTCTCCCCATCAGTCTTCCAGTACCCCGTCTTTGGAGAAACTAAACATTGTAGTGTAGATTCAGACTCTGCAGGTTTGTAAGTGGAATTTTAGTTTGCTTTGGACCCTGAGACACTATGCTAGTCTGTAATGTTTGCCTCCTCTTTCTGTTCCAGTCCTCCCCCTGGTGGAGGCTTTAAGATGCAATTGGAATGGTCACACGGCCAAAGAAAAAACAAAGCAACTTGGCTGATATTCAACCTGGATAAACATCTGCCTCGTGATTTTTAGAGTAAATGCAAAACTGGCTAATGAGCATTGGCTTCAGGGAGGCCTGGCAGGAGCTTTCTGTCTTGCCATGTTTTAGTTAGAGAACC